ATACATAAATAAGTTACGGGAGGGGGGAAGGGGAAAAAAAAGTGAAATTGTAAAAATTATAGAAAAAAAAAAAATGACTGGGTGTAATTTTTTTTTTATTTCCGTTAAAAATAAAATTAATACATTCCGGAATGCACTAATAATTATATCGATAAAAATAGTTTAATTTAATGAACTATATTTATCGTTAACATTTCATTACATGGCGTAAATATAATTATTGTTGCAAATACTTCAAAAACAATGAGAATGGCTAATATAATAAATATTTGCAATGAATCTATCACATTATATTGCTATATTTATTTGATATAAATACTTAATTGTAATTAACTAATTATTGCTACAAACATTTAACATAAATATGGTCAATTAACTGTTAAAATCATAATATATTTATTTACATTCATTTTGAATAAAATTCTTTTATTATAAAAATTTTTTGCAAATATTATTTGCCATATTTTTGCAATTTTTAATAATATGACAATTTTCATGTTAATATATTGATAAGTGTTATTTTATAAAATTTAATTATTAAAAATAGAATTTTTTTTTTTTTTTTAGCCTAAAAAAAAAAAATAAACTAATCATTTGAATTGTATTATGCAAAATGCAAATTATAATATGTTAAAATGTTAACAAAAATTAATGATATATTGTTACATTCATTGATGAATGAATTCATTTGATGGAAGCATTTGAATGATTGTTCAAAAAAAAAAAAAAAAGTACGTACTTTATACGTACGTATTACACTCAACAATCTTATTTATTTATTCATTCATTCATTCATTCATTCAATCATTCATTCAATCATTCATTCATTCAATCTATCAGATTGTTAAGAAATAAATGAGACAATTCGGTCGATACGGCTAGAGAATTTTAAAATCCCTTCATATTTTTCAACGGAATAGAGATAAAGCTAAAACTCAGTGAAATGTTAGATGCTATATAGCTGCTTAAGCTAACATATATTGCTATTAGCCTATTGCTGCTTACATTCAAATCGATTCCCTCTCTCTTTGTTAAAAATCTATTCTATCCCAAAATTCATTTATTCTCTTTCTTTTAACACTCTCTTCAATTCCTGAAACATTAAAATTTTCATTCCATATCTATCTTTATTGAAAAAAAAAAAAAAAGAAAAAAGAAAAACGTAATAAAACTTACC